ATCCAGAAGTGGTTTTGGATGTCCCACATTTCTGGGCTTATTTAAGAGATTGTTTTGTCTCATGGCTATAATATCACATATTCTAAAAATTTCTTTCCAAATGGAAACTTTTTAATGACAAGAACAGGTATTTATGTTTATAAACTTGCTCTTCACTGGAAAGAAATCAGAAATTCAAAGTGAAGCAAAGATCTAACGAAAGTTGGATGGCAAACAGTAAATGAAGAGAGACATGCAAGCCACATTTAGGGGTAATTTACTGGGCTGCTTAGGAAGAGGTGGAGCTTAAAACTCAGCCTTTGGCAGGATGGGATTCAAAGCCCAGCACACCACAGGTTGGCTGTGTGGCCCTGGAAAACTTCATGGGTGTCTCTAAGACACAGGGTCCTCATCTGCCACATGGGGTAAGTAAGAACAGCTCTACTTCATGGGTTGCCGTGGGGATAAAATGAGCTAACGCACACAAAATCCACTGCACAGTGCTCGGCAAATAATAACTTTGGTGAAGGACACTGAATGACACGTGGGACCTCCAGATACAGAGAAAAGACACAGAAGGCAAAGTTAGCACGATTCACATTCAGGGATATGTGACACTGGTCTTACTTCTAGGGAGGGTACACACAAAAAAACCATCATTTTGGAGAATGTGCTCATGTTCACGGAGGACACAAATCACTGAGACCACAATCCATAACGTCTGTGACTTAAGTTTTAAATTCTGTCATCCTCCTGCCTCCAAATGAAGGAAACATCTAATGTACTTTGACAGTCATATAATAAACACCACATTTTCACTGTATGGAGAACTACTGAATATTCCCTCACACGCCTGCCCTGCACCATTAACCCACATGGGCCAATCAGGTTCCTCTGGGGAATTTGCAAATATGACCTGAGAGACCAGGGCCGGGAGCTGTCGGGAGCCTGTCGCACTAGTGCGCGCCAGTGCGCTAGAGAAAAGGCCTGCTGTTGAAGACCCCTAGTTAAAGTCCCTCACATGAAATTTCTAATTAACTATGAAAATACTCATTATATTATAGAAAACACTATCTTACATGGTTAAGAAAAGACTTTGTTGAGGACTTAAGAGAACAAATCGTCCCATATGTCTTATTAAAAGTAAAATTATACCAATATCCACCAACATTCATCCAAACTGAGAGCTTCCTAAGAGCCAGGCACTGGGGACAGACCTGGAGTCCACCAAGGGTT